CGGAGCTCGTTTGGTCGTTGATCGGAGCACAAAACCAGGCTGCACCTCTCTTTTTCTCTCCTTCTTCCTTCTCTCGGCTCTCTCTATTTTTCCTCTCTGTTTCTGCTGCTTTTCTTCTGCTCGTGACCAGCCACCAAAAAAAGGCTACTACCTTTTCAAGATAAGTGGCAGCCCCCACTTTGACATTTCCTTTCTTTTTTTTTCTTTTATAATAATAATAATAATAAATATTATTATTATTATTATTATACTACTCCACCTCTAAACAAATTACATTTTTAACACCAAGTATATTGTTTAGGAACTCCTTCCTCCATGTAGGAGGGATACCCCAACAAATCTCCCCCTCACTCCTACATGCGAGGTAAAACATAATGATGATAAATATCATACAAACCTTTCACAACCAACTGCGCCAAGTGCGTAGGTTGTGAGCAACGCTCTCTTTTCTTCAACTTGAACACCCGATTGCTCTTGGGTGCTCGCTTGCTTCCATGCAACTTTACCAGGGAATGACCACGTCCATCAAGCAAGGATATAACTCCATCTCGCTTGGCTTGAAACCATGGGTGCACCTTCATCACTTCTTCCCGGTAGCAAACTCTCTCAAATATACCAATTTGAGGAACCCTCTGTGGCGGAACTCCATGCTCGGAATGAGGTGGCTCAAGTACATTACCATCACGAGTAACATCATCACCACAACATTTTTCTCCTTCTTCTCCCCCATGATCTGAATGTATGGAAAGAGAAGGAATATTACCTTCAGGGAGGATATTCTGACAACTCTCAAGCATGTGACCAAGCCTCTCGTGCGATAAATCCGTGGAGGGCGCAGTGTTCTGATCTCCTCTACACATCTTTGCTTGCATCACGTAAAGCCTGTTCTCTTTCTTACCTCGGGCCACGATCAAAGAACCTTTGGTGAGCTTCCACTTTCCTTCACCAAGGCGGCTAACATAACCATCTCCATCAAGTCCTCCAGCTGAAATGAGGTTGAACTAAAACTCTGGAACATGTCTCACATCTCTGAGGGTCAACCTGCAACCAGTGTTGGTCTTCAAACAAACAGTGCCCATCCCAACAATCTTAGATGATTTGTCACCCTTCCCCATCTTGACATAGCCAAAGTCACCGCTAGTGTAAGATGAGAAGAACTCCCGATGAGGTGTGAGATGACATGAGGCACCTGAATCAATGATCCAAGTACAATCCTGAAAAGCAACATCAAAGTTAGTGTCATCACACACGAAAAATAAATCATCCGCATCTGCAAAGGCTGCTGTGTCTTTCTCCTCTTTCTTCTCAGAGGTCTGACCTTTTTCCTCTTTCTGCTGGGCTTTATCTCGCTTCATCTTTCTGCACTGAGATATCTTATGGCCCGGTTTATCACAATAGAAGCATTTTACTTCGCTTCTTGATTTAGATCTCCCCCTGGATTCAAACTCTCTATGTCTGTGTCTTCCACGACTCTCTACCTCAGCAACATGAGCCTGATCTGAATAGCTGGAGGAACTCAGATCTCTTCTCCTAGCTTCTTCATTCAGCAGACTCGACTTCACAACATCCATTGTGAGCTTACCCTCTGGAGCAGAGTTGCTAAGTGATACAACCAAGGTCTCCCAGCTTTCTGGCAACGAGCTGAGGAGCAACAACGCCTGCAATTCATCATCTAAAACCAATTTCATTGAAGA